CCTCATCGTTTTTAGACTGTTCACAGCCCTCCATTTTCTGGTATTTTCATTCGATCGTTGAACGCGCCTCATCGTTTTTAGACTGTTCACAACCCTCCATTTTCATCGTTTTCGTAAAGCTTCGTTTTCAAAAATAATGTTTTCCGTCCGCAGAAACAAAAAGCTGGTGTTTTCAAATTCCTCCGGTTTGAAGAACATTTTCGAAAAGCTCTGTTTTCGAGGCGTATTAGTATGGAGAGAAGGCCTAACTGCAGAAAATGTAACAGAGCTAGATTTAGGCTCGGGTGCAATTTAAACCATTACACATTGCCATTTCTTTTGCTGTGGCCATAAAGTATACGAAAGACGCGTACGGGGAAGCCTCGAAATTTGTGCTCTTTCCCCTCTTCCATTTGTTCAGCCCATTCTCCCATGAGTTCGTGAACTCGTTCCAGGCTTCACAATTTGCTCAGCGGAATAACAGATACAAACAAGAATAAACTGCCTAAAAATATATCTTCCATAGCCAGATTGAGCCACAAATGAAAACAGCTTTTAGGCATTTTTTTGAGGGGAGGGGTGGGGGTGGGGTGTTAAAAACCCAAGTCTGTTGCATTTTCACAGTAACACTCGAAAAATCACCGCACGAGTCTGAATCTATTAGACAACCCATAAGTGAATCTTTATTTATTATTTTTGCTCTATTTTGGGGTGGTCCGTAGAGGGGGTCCGTAGGGATAGTCCATGGACCGCTCCGTAGGGTAGTCCGCGGACCCGGTCCGTTGTGGGGGTCCGCGGACGGGGGGTCAGTGTTTTCGGGTTATCCTAGGGGCCTTTAGTCACAAAAGTCCTCAGTTTATATTATCATGAGAGCGTCTCTACTTCTCACCTTTCTCTTAGTTCCGTTATTACTGCACAGAGATCTACTGTCGTGAATCTATTCTTCATCTTGGCGACACAAATTCGGGAAAAGAACAAGAAAAACTACGTGAAAATACACGAACAAGTTAGATTTTTACTTTCTCGCCGTTTCGTCAGCAATGGCCGTCATATTGGATATTAGTTGCACATGGCTTTCAACAGTGAAACCGCTGGTGAAGAGAGTCCCTTGGCATTCTCGTCCCATTTGGTGCTGAACTGGTCCCCCAAGTCAAGTTAGCTCCCAACGTAATTACAAAATTTCGCCCAAATA